CCTATGCGTTTGTAGTGACGAGTACTACGAGGATATGCTACAAAAAAAGTTCCACGTCTCTCTAACCGATGGTCAACGAAGGTCAAAATCTTTGCCTCAAGGGGGCATTTTCATAAAATCACTCATATAAAATTTATAAAACTTAAAATTAGGGACGTGTTGCCACATATAGCTTAATAGTAAAATATTTATTGATTTTTGGCTAAATTACCTAGTTTTAAATTGGATGCTAACAATCTAATATGAAATTACAGCTTGCTATCCTTGTGTTGATTATCACACTTGTTTGTACCATACTTGACCAATCCCGAAACTACTTATCACCGGTCAACGTTACACCGTCAAGGACCCAGAAGAGTTTCCCTCCAACCAGGAGACCAATCACAGCGCGACACGTGTTGACATCAGAAGCCAATCATAGCGCGACATATGTCAACATCAGAAGCCAATCACAACATGACACGTGTCAATGTCAGAATGAAACTAGAAACTCTCTTCTATAAATAGAGATCATTCTCTCACAATATTTCCTAATGTCATTTGTACTAAATCATTCACTAGTACTCACTAAAGGAGAGCTTGAACCTATGTACTTGTGTAAACCCTTCACAATTAATGAGAACTCCTCTACTCCGTGGACGTAGCCAATCTGGGTGAACCACGCACATCTTGTGTTTGCTTCCCTGTCCCTATGCATTTACATACTTATCCACACTAGTGACCAGAGCAATCTAGCAAAGGTCACAAACTTAACACTTTCTGTTGTACCAAAGTCCTCACTGATTTTGTGCATCAACATTTGGCGCCGTCTGTGGGAACGACACTTTTTCCCACTCTCTTCAGCTTTGTCAAGCTGGTTTCCACCATTCATACACTCTTTTTTGACCAGGTATCCCTCTCTAACATGGGGAGCGAAGGAAGCCACAGTACACAGAATGACACCCCTCTTGCACTTAGTGCGAAGCAACGAAAGAAGGAAGGAAAGAGGGTTGCTCTTCAAGCTAAAGTCAATGAGCTAGAAGCTCAAAACAACAAGATAGCAATGAAGAATGTGGTCTTCCAGGAGTAGTATGAAAAGCTTTTTTAGATGCTCCACGAAACTATGCGTACTCAAACACGCGAGCTTGTTGCCTCTATGGATATCAACCATCATCTGGGTGCCCCCTAACACAGAGGGTCACCTTCCTTCGACACGGGTATCCCTGATGAGGAGAGAGCTAATCATTAAAACATTGATCAACATGAGACTTCTCTCAACCCAGCTGCTTCGACCCAAAACAGGAGAAGTGGAAGAAGACACCTCCTTGCAGAAAGGTTGGAAGGATCGAAAGTTGTTTATCATGACTGCCGAGACTTCCTAAAGCAATGTTGAGAGAATCCCCTCCACATATGCTCAAAGATCAATGACCCAAGGGTTTCTGAGAGACTCGGTCCCCTCCCACGGCCCAGGCCAGCTGCCAATCTAGGGAAAGAATGACATGTCCTAGAGGAACATAAAGGTACAAGAGACTCTGAGGTATTCCGACAGACTCGTCCTAGAAGTCAGTACGGCGAGTCCAAGGAAAAATCACACGCCCTTGCTCAAACTTTCCAACTTCAAAGAGGCAATGGAGACTTACGAAAGGAAATCCCAGTAGTACATGACTCCATCAAGACCCCCTTGTCCTACAGCTCCTTGAGGAAGTAAACAAGTTGAAGGCCGAACATCAAGTTGAGATACCTGATTGGAACCAACCCAGGCCCGGCCATCTCACAAGGAGGATCCTTGACACCCCCTTCAAGCGAAGACAAAACAAATGCTTGGTTTACAACTTTATACTAGAAGGGAGGACCCAATTGAACACCTTAACCTCTTTGAGTCCACCATGGCATATCAGATGCACACCGACGAAGAGCGATGTCTTCTCTTCCACTACACCCTCTCTGACGGAGCTCTAAACTGGTATTGTCGTCTTCCATCTAAGACAGTAGACTCATTTGACGAACTGAGGAAACTGTTTGTCTCTCAACACATCTTCCAAATCGGTCGCTTGCATTCTGCAGATGATTTGTACACTATTCGCCAGAAACCGGACGAGTCATTACGAGAGTATGCTGGTCATTTCAACCATGAGTATTCTCGCTGCGCTGAGGCAGATGACAAGACCGCCCTCAAGGCCTTCACGGGAGGCCTACGTGATTGTTTCTTCAAGTACATGATCAATGCCAACACTTGGAAAACTTACTCTAAGGTGATGGCACAGGCTTACAACCATGCCTCCACCGAGGCAATGACATATCAAGGGAAACCCCCCACAACCACCCCTTATCAGCAAGTAGGGAGTGGAAGCCAGATCCAACCAAATGAGAATACCTCGACCTTCCAAACGGCAACGGTGCCTCCCCCTACCTTACTTAATACTTTCCCAAGTCAACAGACATATCAATCTCAGGGCAAAAGGAAAAATTTCCATCCTCACCAGCCTTATTTTAGTAAAAGGAGTAGGGGACACTACCGCGATAACCAAGGGTATCGCCATGATAATCCCCAACCCCAGGAAGTCAACACAGTGGGTCAAGCACGTGTTCGGACAGCCCCTACCCCGAGGTATGATGCATACACACCTTTGAACGCCACTTGCGTGGCCATTTACCCTAGCATAGCACACTTGATACCGAAGCCAAAGCCGAGGCACCCAGATTACAAGCCCACGAAGAACACGGACACGTTTTGCTGCTACCACGAGCATAACAGCCATGACGGCGAAAAGTGTATCACCCTTCACGATCATATTGAAGCTTTGGCACGTGAAGGAAAAATTGATCAATTCCTCCTTCACCCTCCAAGGGGTAACCGTAACCAACACTAGGTAAATGTGATATATTCCATAAGTGGTGGCACACCCATATCTAAATCTTCCAACAGGGTCATGAAAAATAGTGAACGAGCTTTAAGGTCTGGCCACAAAGTGTTTCACGTGGAAGACATCAGGGGAGGTAAGTATCAAAAGCCTAACTGGGATCCAATATGTTTCTACCCTGAGGAAGAAAGAAGTATCATCTACCCTTACAACGACCCACTGATCGTGGAAGCTCACATAGCCAACTTTGAAGTACAACGAATCCTGGTAGACACGGGGGCTTCGGTCAACATCATGTTTGCCGAAGCTTTCAGGGCACTTAATGTAGCTGAACACTTACTCGACCGCTCGATTTCCCCTCTGATAAGCTTCTCCGGTGATATTGTGCAACTTTTGGGGAGCATACACTTACCTTTCACCATTGGTACAGGCCCTTACATAGCTACCATTACCACTAACTTCCTGGTGGTTGATTGCCCAATGGCATACAATGTCATCTTCGGACGCACAAGCATCAATGATCTCAAGGCCATGGTATCCACACATATGTTGTTGATGAAATTTCCAACCCCCTATGGCAATGGTTACATCAGAGGAGATCAACTTAGTGCACGATCATGTTATAACACTTCGGTCAAGCAACAACACCTACATGTGCCCAAGGAAACCCTTTCTATACATGACCAAGTCATAAAGACCAGCCCAGACGAAGCCAACTTGGATCTTCACGGTGGCAACAATCAACCCGACGATCCTTGAAATGACTCTTTAACCCAACAAGCACAACCCGCTGAAGAGTTTGAGAATGTCTCTATCTCAAAAGATTATCCGGATTGCATGGTGAAGATTGGTACCACCTTGTTACCACCCATTCGGTTGGCATTGATCTCTTTTTTGCAAAAGACACTGAGGTCTTCGCCTAGTCATACGAGGACATGCCATGCATCTCTCTCGATATAATCTGTCATCGCTTAAGTATTGACCCTAAGACCAAGCCAGTGAGACAGAAGCGAAGATCTTATGACGCTGAACGATACGAGGCAATGAAGGCAGAAGTTGAAAATCTCAAAGGCGTAGGCTTCGTCCGTGAAGTCAATTATCCAACGTGGGTAGCAAATGTTGTCCTTGTTAAGAAGAATCCGACCAAGGAAAGTCTCCTGCTCCAAAAGGTCTTGTGGAGAATGTGTGTCAATTACACCGACCTAAACAAAGGATGCCCGAAGGATAGCTTTCTTCTTCCTCTCATAGACAGACTTATAGACTCTACAGCAGGGTGTGAACTCCTGAGCTTCATGGATGCTTACTCAGGATACAACCAAATCCTAATGAACCCTCCGGACCAAGAACACACAGCCTTCACTACTGACAGGGGACTATATTGCTGTAAAGTCATGCCCTTTAGCCTAAAGAATGCAGGAGCGACTTATCAGAGACTAGTTAATTCAATGTTCGCCGAACAGATTGGGAAGAGCTTGGAAGTTTACGTTAATGATATGCAAGTCAAGAGCAAACATGCTGACCAACACATCACCAACTTATCTGAAACATTCACCATTCTGAAGAGGTGGTTCGACGTGAAAACTTTGAAGTTCTTACCTGAAATGGGTACGGATGAACTCGTATCAACGAGATGAAAACGATGGTGGTCTTTGTTTCCTCGATCTGTAAGGATTTGATGAACTTTGGTGATGGTCCGTGTGTAGAGAGAGAGAGAGAATGAGTGAATTCGAAGGGAAGAGAGAGAGTGTGAGTTTGAGTGTTTGAGGGAATTGCGGGAAAAAGGAAGAAAAGGTGTTCTGAAAGAGTGTGTATGCTTGTCCCGTGAGTGTATGTGGTCCACAAGCCACAATCATTCAAACACAATCAAACAAAACGTCCATGATCATCCACTCTTTAAAACTAGGGTAATTTAAACAAACCCTAAAGTTCTAAATCTTTAAAACGTTCAAGGACATTTTATTAACTTCATACTCACGAAAACGATAATACGGGACGGGCTGTCACAACCTACCCTTCTTATAGAAATTTCGTCCCCGAAATTTACATAATCAAAATACAACACTAATAATCATAAAACAATCTCAGATACATCTCTCTCATTCGATCCTCTGTTTCCCAAGTAGCATTTTCCACCGAGTGGTTCCTCCACAAAATTTTTACCAACTGCACCGTCTTATTTCTCAGAACTTTCTCTTTCCAATCCAAGATAGTCACTGGTTCTTCATCATAAGTCAAATTCGGGCTAATCTCCAAAGGTTGAACCGGAATCACATGCGATGGATCTGCAACATACTGACGAAGCATCGAGACATGAAATACATTATGCACTTTAGACAGTTCTGAAGGCAACTCAAGCCTGTAAGCAACCTCACCAACTCGCTCGGTGATCTGATAAGGTCCGATGTACCTAGGGCTTAGCTTACCCTTTTTCCCGAACCTTACTACTCCTTTCCAAGGCGATAGTTTCAAAAATACCCAATCATTAACCTTATACACTCGATCAGTAGCATGCCTTGAATGATGATTTTGTGAAAACATGTTCATTTGAGCAACATCATAAGGCATGCAATTAACAATTAAAGGCGGAATCATGCTTGCATGCACTCAAAAACAAAACATTACCTATGAAATTCAAAGCCTAGTAGATTGGTGAACCAATATTCAACTCATAACAAAGTGAGTTGAAATTTATACCTTTGTAGATTCCTCTTTGCATAAGCAAAGGCTAATCACCCAAAGAGAGGGCCTTCATTCCTTGCATCTAAAATCTATGGATTTGGATGGAAGAATAGGTTTCTCCAAGTTCCCAAAATTGAGAACCTCTAAGTCTCCACACCAAGGAGAGATTGGAGAAGAAATGAGTGAACTTGGAGTAGTAGTATGGCTAGATACACCCTCCAAGGGGGCCGGCCTCCTAGAGAGAAAAGGAGAGACATGTTCTCTCCAATTTTCTCCAAAAGAACCCTTAATGAATTTTAGGCTATAAAGTTCTTTATATAGTCACTTCTTTAAATGACCTAAAGAACCAAAAACCCTAATTCAACACACATGGCCGGCCACTTTAGGGATTTGGGCTTTTGGGCCTTTGTGAATCTTTATTCATTAAATTGTCATACAACTTAAGTCAATGGGCTTGACGTTCGAAGCCCATTGGGCCTTAAGGTCCAAAACTATCCCGAGGTCTTTAACGAACTTATTCGTTTGATTAATTAACATATTAATTAATCCTTGCCATAAAATAATTAAACCATTTTTAATTATTCTTACTCATCTCCATTGTTTCTTCAATCTCCACCTTACACGGTGTACGATCCATTAGGTTCCTTTTAGTGAGGCAGTGGGTGATTAAAACTCTTTCAAATCAATTGTGAATTGAAACTTACTTTCAATTCTCCCTTTAGTGATTATACAAGTTTAGGGCTTCCACAAACCATGAGTGACACCTAGCAGCATATCATGGTTACCCAAGCTAATCAGAAGAGGTGGAGAACCTATTCAGTTTAGGATTACAAATGCAATACGGTCTTTCTCTAATACAATACTCTTGACCATATTGTTTGGTTTGATAGTTTATTAATGTCTACTATCCAATGTGATTCGTGTGCTTATATGATTACCTTGAATGTGATTTGGAACGCCTTCCTAAATCTCATTCATACTTTGGCCAAAGATTTTTAATCATATCATAGAGTATTCTCCCTCAAACGGTTTGAAGGTTAGAGATCCCTTGTTGCGCATTCACTTGTCTCTATGGCTAAGTAGCTTAACCCCAACGATGCCGTGGACACCCGCGAATGGGTGACTTTGACATAATCAAAGATCAAGGACCTAACCACAAGACAAATGTTATGCCTCAGGTCAAAGGACTAATTTGCATTATCCCAACAATGAGTTCTCATGTGACATGAATATGAGAACTCTTCGTTGATCGTGTTCAGTGAACTCATTCTCTATTGAGCACCTACGTACTTGTCTTAATGTCACACACACCATTGACTCGAGACTAGTCACTCTCCCTAAGAGAAGACATAGCACGTACTGATCTTAACGGACTGTCAATGCCCAATTGGCAATCCTATGATCAGGAACGTTTAGGATGTGTCTACGAAAGAATGGTCTCATGAATCTAACTTCTTTAGATTACATTCTTCCAATCACATATTCCTTGGACTTATCGTTTAAGCATATAACATTTATATGAGACGGCTTAAAACAATAATCTATGCCCTTGATATTAAACTAGATTAGTTTAACATGTGAAATGTCCATAAAGTATCATCATATGATTGGTTTTAGGGCACATTTCCAACATGCCTGTTTGCTAAGCTCTTTTGCCGATCCTGGGCCACTTTCAAATTAGACTTAATTACTTGAACATTCTGAGTAGTCTCCTCCACTATCTCCAGGCCCACCAAAACTCTTTCACCGACCTCTAACCAACACAAAGGAGTACGACACGATTTTCCATATAAAGCTTCAAACGGTGCCATCCCGATACTAGAATGATAACTGTTATTATAAGAAAATTCCATTAAATCCAACTTTGCATGCCAATCATCGCCAAACTGCATTATAGAAGATCTTAACATATCTTCCAAAGTCTGTATCGTCCTTTCTGATTGACCATCTGTCTGGGGATGATATGCCGTACTATATAGCAATCTCGTACCAAGAGCTTCCTGAAAAGCTGTCCAGAACTTAGAAGTGAATCTAGGATCTCGATCTGAAATAGTACTCACTGGAATCCCATGGTACTTCACAATCTTAGTGATAAACAGCTCAGCCAATTTGTTCAGAGAATACTTTTCTCTCACTGGAATAAAGTGCGCTAACTTAGTAAGTCGATCTACAATCACCCAAACACCATCACAACCGTTCCGTGTACGAGGAAGCTTGTACACAAAATCCATAGTGATAGTTTCCCATTTCCACTGTGGAACGGAAAGTGGTTGCATTAAACCAAACGGTTTCTTCCTTTCAGCTTTAACCTGCTGACAAACTGCACACCTGCTGACATACTCTGCAATTTCTCTTTTCATACCTGGCCAATAGTAAAATGGCCTAATGGTATGATACATCTTAGTGCCCCTGGATGCATTGCATATGCTGAAATATACGCTTTATCAAGAATCTCTTTCTTCAAATCCTCATTATTTGGCACATACAACCACTTATCCTGCATAAGCATGCCATCAGATTCTCGAACTTTGAGATCCTTTGTCTTTCCTTGAGAAACTGCAAAGATTAAACTCTGAACTTCTTCATCAATTCCTTGGGCTTCGAGTATACGGTCCATCAAAATAGGCCTAACTTGGAAACTAGCAAGTAAAGCTTCTTCTCGTCCTACCACAATTTCCTCTTGTTCTTCCAATCCCAATTCCACTCCAGTGGACTCAAATCTGCAAGAAGCGGAACACGAGAAGCACACAAAGCGTTAACCCGACCTTGGGATTTCCTACTCAAAGCATCAGCCACCACATTAGCACAACTAGGATGATACTCAATAGTGCAATCATAATCGCTAAGCAGCTCTAACCACCTTCGTTGCCTAAGATTAAGCTCTTTCTGGGTGAAAATGTACTGAAGACTCTTGTGATCCGTAAAGATCTTACACTTTTCACCATAAAGATAGTGTCTCCAAATCTTCAAGGCAAATATAATGGCTGCTAATTCCAAATCATGAGTAGGGTAATTCTTTTCATGAGGCTTTAACTGATGTGAAGCATAAGTAATCACCCTACTATGCTGCATTAAAACACATCCCAGGCCATTCAACGAAGCATCACTATAAATCTCAAAATTACCTCTGTCATCAGGAAGTGCCAAAACAGGTGCATGAGTGAGACAATGCTTAAGCTGCTGAAAACTCTGCTCACACTTACTATCCCACTCAAACTTGACTTCCTTTCTGGTTAACCTTGTAAGTGGTAAAGCGATAACTGAAAAATCCTTAACAAACCGTCGATAGTAACTTGCTAAGCCAAGGAAACTCCGTACCTCCGTGACTGTTCATGGCTGTTCCCAATTCTCCACAGCTGCTATTTTCTGATGGTCTACCAAAATACCCTGAGTTGAGATGACATGTCCCAAGAGTGCCACTTCATTTAACCAAAATTGGCACTTGCTAAACTTAGCATACAAACGGTGCTCTCTCAATTTCTCCAACACCAAAGTGAGATGTTGAACATGATCTGATTCAGACTTGGAATACACCAGGATGTCATCAATAAAGACAATGATAAATCTATCCAAATATTGCTGGAATACTTTATTCATCAAACCCATAAAAGCTACTGGTGCATTCGTCAATCCAAACGGAATCACAAGGAACTCATAATGGCCATAACGAGTTCTAAAAGCTGTTTTGTAGACATCGTCACTCTTAATCTTCAACTGATAGTAACCTGACCTTAAGTCGATCTTAGAGAATACACAGGCACCTCGAAGTTGATCAAATAGATCATCGATACGCGACAATGGATAACGGTTTTTAATCGTTACCCGATTTAATTGCCTATAATCGATGCATAACCTCAAAGTTCCATCTTTCTTTCTTACAAACAAAACTGGAGCTCCCCAGGGTAAAGTACTAGGTTAAATAAAACCTTTATCAACCAATTCTTGTAATTGAATCTTCAATTCTCTTAACTCAGTAGGAGCCATACGATAAGGAGTTAAGGAAATAGGATTTGTACCTGGAAGTAAGTCAATAGTGAACTCGACATATCTATCTGGTGGTAATCCAGGTAAATCATCTGGAAATACGTCAGGAAAATGTCTGACTACTCCCACTTCTTCCACACTACTAGGAGTAACATCATCTAATATCACATGAGCCAAGTACCCTTGACAACCTTTCGATAACAACCTTTCAGCTCTCACAGCTGAAATAACTTCATGCCTCAATCCACTAGGCTTCCTTACTAATGTAACTTCAGGTAATCCAGGACAATGGAAAGTCATTGTTTTCCCGTAACAATCAATTTGGGCATGATTAAAATGCAACAAATCAGTGCCTAATATCACATCAAAATCCACAATATCTAACGGGACAAGATTAGCTGGCATAACTACATCCTCTACCATCACTGGACACCCTGGATATACACAATCTACATAACATCTTTCCCCTCTAGGCATAGCAAACTCTAACTCAAACCCTAGAGGCGTAGATTGAGGTTGAGTCAATTGAGCAAATATAAGAGAAATCACAGAATGTGTAGCACCACAATCAATCAACACTTTAGCATGATAACCAAGAATATTTAACGTACCCATAATCAAGTCAGGATTATTCTGAGCATCCTGTAAAGAAATGTTGTGGATACGTCCTTGGGCCTGCTGCCTTCCTCCTCGACCTCTGTTGGCATGAACACCTCTACCCTGCGAACTACGTCCTTGACCGGACTGAATGTGCGGCCTAGACGATCCAGCACTACTAGTAACATATCTATCTGTTGTGGTTGTCCTCCTGGCTGCCACTGCGATCCACCAGCTGAAAACTACTGACCAAGGTTGTTCTGCTGATAAGGCATATAACCTTC